CCGCTGCCATCCTTCTGTGCAACAATGCACGTGGCAAAAATTGCTGCTCTGTGTATCTGTTGGATTTGCTTCCTCCTCTGTCGCCCATTAACTGGCTCCTTTTCTTGCAGGCGACAAGGAAGCAGAGGGAAGAAAGGCTTCCCTCACTTGTCCCTGCTTTAGGCAGATCACTGGATATTTTTAGCAGCCTAGGAAGCCTCTGAGTAACAAGGGTTCAGGTTTTGAACTTGCCTGGTCAGCCCTGCCTCCTGATTCCTCTCGAAAAAGGTTTACGGTGGACTCTCAGCAGCTTTGCTGATGCAGCTAGTAATGTTTATAACCACAATCAAGCACTCCAAGAGCCCCGGCACTGATTTCTTACCCATCTCTATCCTGTAACAGAGGATTTTTCAATCGAGTAGGTTTGCTTCATTCGTTTTAAAATAGCTCCAGCCCAGCTGAGGATCGCACGGGGCCTCGCACGGGGATTTGTACTTATAGTCATGGAAATACATTTATTTTACTTTCCTCTTTCTCTCTCTTTGAGGGATTTTAATCTATCATGCAGGAGTATTCCTCGCATGGCAGGAAAAAGCCTTGCTTTGCACTGAAGACAAAGAACTGCATGTCGTGTTTACTGATAGAGAAGAGCTCCACTCGGCTTCACCCATGGGCTTCTCAGGATTAGATAATTAGGGAGCTCCTTAGTGCTTACCCTGGGGGTGTCAGCTGGAAATCTACTGTCACAATGGTGATCTTCCTGCAATTTAAATGCTGGATGTGGGGTTGGCAGAGGGAAGGCGTGTTAGAGGGGTGTCACCTTGCTAGGTTTAGTGCAGCAGAAAAGAGGCAGCATGTCTTGGGTTGACTTGAGCCTGATAGACAACGTGAGGTCACAACCTACCCCGATTTATCAACAGGACAACTAGCCTGCAGATATCCACTCTAAAGGGCTGGGAGGGACAGGAAAGCCATGCCTAGGTGGACCCTGCTCAGGATGAAAGGGAGAAAGCCAGACTGAGGTCAGTGATGACCTAACTTCAGAGGCATCACGTTCTCTCATCCTCCACTGTCCCACCTTCAGGGGACCTGCAGCCAGGGACCCAGGGCCTTTGAGCCTGCACAGCTGGACTAAAAATCTAGAAAGCCTATTTGTTTCTCTTTTTTTTATTTTTATTTTTTAGTTAGAGACAGCATCTCGCTCTGTTGCCCAGGCGAGAGGGCAGTGGCACAGTCACAGCTCATTGAAGACTTGAACTCCTGGGCTCAAGCAATCCTCCCACCTTGGCCTCCAAAAGTGCTGGGATTACAAGCATGTTTGTTTTTTCCTCTTTTCTTCCCCTTCCCTTTCCTCCTTTCCTTTGTTCCTCCCTTTACTCCCTCACTTCTTCCTTCTCTCCCTTCCACGGAGGTACTCAGCTTTATTGACCAATCCCTGTTGGATATTTAGCTCGTTTCCAGTGTTTGGCTACTACAATTTCTGCTTTAATGAAGAAGCTTGTATGCAGTTATTTTGCACCTGTCCCAGTGTATCTGTTGGATGAAGTTCTAACAGTGGAATTGCTTGGGGAAAGGGGGTGTCTGTTTTCCGTGGCTGCTGTTAACCAAGGACCACTAACAAAGTGGCCCAAGACAACACACATTGTTCTCTCACAGTCCTGGAGGTCAGAAGTCTAAAAGCAATTTCACTGGGCTAAAATCAAGGTGTGGACAGGGCTGGTTCCTCCCACGGGCTCTAAGGAAAGATCTGTTTCTTTGTCTTTTTCAGCTTGTAGTGCTGCTTCAATTCCTTGGCTTGTGGGTCCTTCCTTCATTTTCAAAGGACTTCCCTGTACCTCTGCTCAGTCATCACATCACCTTTCCCCTCTGACCTCCTGCCTCCCTCTTACAAGGACCCTTGTGATGACATCAGACCCACTGGGCCAACCTAGAATAACCTTCCATCTCAAGATTCTTGCTTTAATCACATCTACGAGGTCCTTTTTGTTGTCACTTAGGTAACACTCACACATTACAGGGATTAGAATGTGGACACCATGATTCAGCTTGCCTCAAAGAATAAGCCCTTTAATACTTTTGAGAAACTGTACATTGCCCTTCATAGAATTTGTAACAATTTACCTCCCCACCATCAATATCCAGGCACCTGCATTTCCCATACTTTACTGATACATCTCTATCAAACCAATTCTTTGCAAATTTAATGATAAAAAAGTGTGTTTTTCTTTTCTCTTCTTCTTTCTTTCTCCTTTCTTTCTTTCCTCTTTCTTTTCTTTTCTTTCTTTTTCTCTCTCTATCACCCAGGCTGGAGTGTAGTAGCATGACCTCAGCTCACTGCAACCTCTACCTCCAGGTTCAAGTGATTTTCTGCCTCAGCCTCCCAAGTAGTGGGGATTACAGGCATGCATCACCACACCTGACTAATTTTTGTATTTTTAGTAGAGATGAGGTTTCACTATGTTGGCCAGGCTGGTCTCGAACTCTTGACCTCAAGTGATCCTCCTGCCTCAGCCTCTCAGAGTGCTGGGATTACAGGCATGAGCCACCATGCCCAGCCTCAGTGTGATTTTAATGAGCATTTCTCTTATGAGTGAGATTGAGGATGTGTTTACATATTTAAGAGCCATTTATATTTTAGTTGGGGTACACTATCTTTTCACACCATTTTTCTTTGGGCTATTGGGCTTTTCCTTTGATTTGTCGTTCTTTAGAGGAAAATGAGCCCTTTGAGTTGAATTGCTAAGGGTGTTATTACTAACCCTTTTTTATAGATGAAGAAATGGAGGCTCAGAGACCTTAAAGAACCTGCTCAAGGCTACAAGCTAATGTCTGGCAGAGTTGGGATTGAACCATCCTTGATTTTGAATGTCATCCCTGCTATTGTCTCATAGGCTGGTGGATAAGTATAGATCATTTCTGTCAAACCACACAGTAGGGATAACAATGAACCTCTTAGATTGGACCATGAGTTTGCAATTTTCCAGTGGTTTTCATTTTTATTATCTTATTTTTACTCTCCTACATCTTATTAGCCCACTTTATACATGGGAAACTGAGGCTTAGGGAGACTTAGGGGCCTGGTCACAGTCACATGACTGATGAATGTGAAAACCTAAGATCAGAGTCTGCCACTAGCCCAGCACTTTTTTCCATATAGGGAATGTTGAGGCCTTTCATGTACCACTTAAAAATTTTTACCAAGGCCAGGTGTGGTGGCTCACATCTGTAATCCCAGCTACTCAGGAGGCTGAGGCAGGAGAACTGCTGGAACCCAGAAGGAGGAGGGTGCGATGAACCAAGATCATACCACTGCACTCCAGTCTAGGAAACCCAGCAAGACTCCATCTCGGCCGGGCGCGGTGGCTCAAGCCTGTAATCCCAGCACTTTGGGAGGCCAAGACGGGCGGATCACAAGGTCAGGATATCGAGACCATCCTGGCTAACACGGCGAAACCCCGTCTCTACTAAAAACACAAAAAATTAGCTGGGCGAGGTGGCGGCACCTGTGGTCCCAGCTACTCGGGAGGCTGAGGCAGGAGAATGGCGGGAACCCGGGAGGCGGAGCTTGCAGTGAGCTGAGAGCTGGCCACTGCACTTCAGCCTGGGCGACAGAGCGAGACTCCGTCTCAAAAAAAAAAAAGAAAAAAAAAAAGACTCCATCTCAAAAAAAAAAAAAAAAGCTGAGTTGTGATGGGAGGTGCCTGTAATCCCAGCTACTTGAGGGCTGAGGCAGGAGAATCGCTTGAACCCTGGAGTTGGAGGTTGCAGTGAGCAGAGATCATGCCACTGCATTCCAGCCTGGGCAACAGAGCAAGACTCCATCTCAAAAAAAAAAAAAAAAAAAAAATTAGTTGGGTGTAATGGTGGACACCTGTAATCCCAGCTACTTGGGAGGCTGAGGCAGGAGAATCACTTGAACCTGGGAGACAGAGGTTGCAGTGAGCTGAGATCATGCCACTGCCCTCCAGCCTGGGCAACAGAGCAAGACCCTGTCTCAAAAAAAAAAAATTTTTTTTTTCACCCTATCCATGTACACAAATACTTTGATTTATTTAGTATAATTTTTAAATTAACTCATGTTCTAACAACTTAGCCTCATTCTAATCACTAACAGTGTTAAAATCACAAGTTTGATGTCCTCCTTCTAATGTTCCCTAATTCCATATATCTAAGAAATTCCACATATCACCTAAAACCCTCTTCTTGTTTCCCATCAGTGGTATAAGTAAGTACTGCATATTTTGTAAGCACTTAATTAAGTTTGTTAGGCCTGATGGAAAATGACAGGCCCTCATAATAGATGTCCTTTATCAAGCACCGATTAAATGCCAGGAGTTTCATTGAATCCTTACAGCAACTTTAAAGGGACGGATATAGGTCTTCCCCGTTCATAGAGCAGAAAACAGGGGTTCAGAGAGGTTAGGCGGCTTACCCAAGGTCACACAGCCAGGAAGTGGCAGGGTTGGGACTTATGCTCCAGTCCTGCATTGCCCCAGGTCCCCCCAGCCTGGCACTAAATTTGCTGATTGCAGAACTGATCGCCAGTTGGTGATTACCAGCCAGGACTATAACCACCCATGTAAGTGAAGGCATTTAGCTATTTCACTGCATGCGGAGTTAGGAATCCTCAGGCAGCCTGTGGTTTGAGGAAAGGGCCTTTTCTGTTTCACCTTTAATTGTTTTAGCTCCACAACACTTCTGTGAGGTGGGCAAATATAATTAACCCATTTACAAACGAGGAAAGTGGAGAGGTTAGAATGATTCCCTAAAGTCACTCAGTAAGTGAGCGGCACAGCCAAGAATAATAAATAATATTATTTCAGGAGACGCAAACTCAGTGAACCTAAAGGCTTCCTGGTGCTCAGACCATCAGAAAGTGCTTCCGGGCCCTGACCCTTCAAAATCGACACTTCCCCACCACGGCAGAGGTCTAGGTACAACATTTTAAGTCTGGGAGTTATTCAGACTGTCCATGTGAGTTCAGACCACCCCCAACATTTTCTCCCCATTATTCTTTTCAGATCATAGCTTGATTAATTTTTCCATCAAGAGAATGGCACTACATATTTTGTAGAGGCAAAAATAATACAGATTTTGCCTAATGGAATGCTTCCAAGGTCACTGTGAGGATGAATGGACTCGCATTCAAAAAGCACTTCGGAATCCTAGACAGGCTGAAGTGAAGGTAAGTCTATTGTTCTTCGTCCTAACAATAGTCATTGATTGGGGGGGCATCCCTTGATAACCTTTTAATTTTGCTATGAAAAACTGGTGGAACAGAAGGTTGCTAGTTCCTGTTGGTGAAAAGACAATGTACGCCCTCTGGTCTTCAGCCATTCCCTTCAACCCTTCTCAGCTACATGTTTTCAGATCCTAGTGACCAATATGACTTCCACAACCAGAGTGGAACAACCAGAGTTTCTTTGAAATTCTTTACAGTCTGCAAGCTGCCAGAAGGATCCTCTGAGACACAGCTGGTTTGATTTTCTTTGAGGGCTATTCAATACTTTAAAACTTGGAGGGGCCAGGTGTGGTGGCTCATGCCTGTAATTCTGACACTTTGGGAGGTTGAGGTGGGAGGATTATTTGAAACCAGGAGTTTGAGACCAGCCTGGGCAACATAGGGAGACCCTGTCTCTACAAAAAATAAAATATGTAGCCCGGTGTGGTGGCACACACCTATAGTCTCAGTTACTTGGGAGGCTGAGACAGGAGGAGCCCTTGAGCCCAGGAGTTGGAGGCTGCAGTGAGCTATGATAGCACCACTGCTCTTCAACCTGGACAACAACAGAGTGAGACCTCGTCTCTAAAACATAAATAAATAAATAAATAGATTAATTAAATAAATAAAAATAAAATAAAACTTAGAGGGCTGGTTTCTGGAGATGTCCATTTTATAGAGAGGGAAACGGAAGGGAGACTTGGGGGCACCTCTGGTCCCAGGTCTCCTGACCTTGTTGTTTTTACTATGTCCTACCTGCCAAAGAAAATATCAGTGTCTCAATCCACCCGTGACCTGGTCACTCACTCCCAGAGTGGAAACCTGCCAACCCTGACGATGGTGGCCCCCTAGAGCCACCCTCCCCCGGAGCCTCCTTCTTGGACGTGCTTGCTGTTAAAGAGGGTTGGTGACAATCATCTCTTAATTGCAATACCTCCTGTTGGCCTGAATAATAGTTGAAATCTTGTGGGCGCGTTGGCTGGGCATTAGGGGGTGTTTCTGTTGTGCCTCGAGCAAAGGAAGGCTTTATTCACACCAGCATCTGTTCCAGAGAGGTCTGAAAAGCTCAATTATTCAGCAGAGCATGTTGGAAAAATAAAACCCCGAACTGATGTGTTTGAGGTCATCCCTTGGCTCATTTGAATGTGGGGAGCCAGGACTCCTGACCCTTTACTTCCATTGGCCTCGACTGTTACTTGAAACTCTCTAATCTTAACTCTGATTCTATAAATACCTCCAGTTTTTAAAAATGTAGATATATCTTTTTTTTTTTTTAGCAAAAAGCTTGAAACCAAGAAACTAGTTTGCCTCTCTATCTTTGACTCGATTTAATTTCAATTAATAAAGTTGGATTAAAAGTGGGGAGCCTAATTCGGACTTGCAGGGGAGAGGGGGCTTACTCTGTGCCCAGCAGAGCCAGGCGGAGTTCTGGCCCTTTTCTGTTTCCTCTGACCAGCAGCTGATTCCTTTGATATCTCATCTTGCGTCCTGTCCAGAATAAACGATGGGCGCGATGCAGGTTCCAGTAGCATGGAGAGACCGTCTGCTGGTACCATCTGATTCCTCAGCAGGCAGAGCCACACAGTCCTGGGAGGCAGCGGCCACCAGGGCGAATTTATAGGCTGCAGGTGGGGGATGCTACCTTGCCCTTCACACAGGAAAACAGCCTAGGGAGGGGGCATGCTTTGTACCATCTCGGATTCCCATCCCCAGAACTCATGCCAGGAATTCACCCGGACTGCAGAACCTACAGGAAGCTGCCTGTGTGACAGATTACTACCAACTTGCTGTGTTACCAACTTGCTGTGTGACCTTGGGAAAGGCACTTTCCCTCTCTGGGCCTAATTTGTTTTATATGTGAACAGAAAGGACATCATCATCATCATCACCATCATCATCGTAGTTAATGAGTGCATCCTAGAGGATCTCCTAGTATGCTTGCCAAAGAACCTCTGTGGCTGATATTATCATCCTCATTTTACAAACAAGGAGTTGCAACCCAGAGAGGTTAAGTCACTTGCCCGCATTACAGAGCTAATAAGTGACATCGCTTCAATTCAGGCTCAGTCCCTCTGACTTCCGATCCTAAGCTTTTAGCCTCCTACATTATAACATTGACACTTTCTGCACGTTCACTCTGTGAATCCTCAAAGCAACCATATAAGGTCAATGCCATCGTTACCCACATTTTACAGGTGACCAGTGGTCTCATAACATTTTTTCCACCTGTGGGAAAAAAAGCTATTATTATTTTTCTTTCTTTTTCTTTTTTATTTATTTATTTTTATTTCTTTGTTTGTTTGTTTGTTTATTTATTTATTTGAGATGAAGTCTTGCTCTGTTGCCCAGGCTGGAGTGCAGTGGCATGATCTCGGCTCACTGCAACCTCCACCTTCTGGGTTCAAGCAATTATCCTGTCTCAGCCTCCCAAGTAGCTGGGATTACAGGCACCCACCACCATGCCTGGCTAACTTTTGTATTTTTAGTAGAGACGGGGTTTCACCATGTTGCCCAGGCTGGTCTCGAACTCCTGACCTCAGGTGGTCCACCCACCTTGGCCTCCCAAAGTGCTGAGATTACAGGCATGAGCCACTGTGCCCGGCAAAAGCTATTATTTTTCAGTTCAGGAGAACAGTGGCAGAGACGTAAGATTAGGAAGGTCAGTGGTCAGCCTTCCTGTTGTCTGAGGGAAAATGACGGAGCACACAGGATGAAGAGTAGATGAAAAGCGAGGACGTGATCCTGCAGAGTGCAAACTCCTTGGCCAGGCCCGCAAAGCCCTTTCCAAGTTGCCTCTTGCGCCTCTCCCATATCAGAACGGCCTTTAATTGCTGCAAGCCTAGGGGGTAGGCACTGTTCCCGTGAGCCTTTCACAAAGGCACAGCGGCAGCAGCTAACGAGGTACCCCAGTTTGCAGAGCTCTTATCTGGAGCTGCAGGACTTGAACTTGAGCCTGAGCCCAAAGCCCTAGCTCTCGATCCCTTTGCCATCCATCCCGCCTCCTGGCACTAACCCTGACCTTCTGCTCTGGGCCACTTGGGACCTCCCTGTTCTACAAACACCCATGCCTTCTGCTGTCCTGATTTTTCTGTCCAGCACACCCCTTCTCCCTTGTCTATTGGTCACATTCCTTTATTGTCATTTGATCAGGGCCAGTTCAGGGATCACTTCTAAAAAAGTTTTTCTTATATATGCCTGTAGTCCTAGTTACTCGGGAGGCTGAGGTGAGAGGATCACCTGAGGTGAGAAGTTGGAGGCTGCATTGAGCCGTGATCACGATACTGCACTCCAGAAAGAAAGAGTTTTTTCCTAATGCCTCAGGCAGGAGTCACCTCTCCCTCTGTGTCTCCAAGCTACGGAAACGACTGTTGGATGACAGTGGTGGTGATCGCCATCACTGTTACTGTTATAAAATTGTGTGCAGGACGTAGTGCTTGGCGTTGACACAGACCCCATTCCACCCATTCCCGTCTGCCCTTCATACAAAGTGGGTGCTCTGACGATCTCCAGCTCACTGACAAGGACGCAGTTTCAGAGATGCTAAGTACCTTTCCAAGGTCCCCTCGGCTAGAAAATGCAAGGCTGTGCTGTCATCAGCAGGAGGAGGTGTGAGGACAGAGGCAAGAGGTTGGAGAGATGCAAGGGAGAGGCCAGGAGCCAAAGAATGCTGGCGGCCTCTAGAAGCCGGCAAACGAAAGGGAGGCCAGGTGCAGTGGCTCATGCCTGTAATTCCAGCACTTTGGGAGGCTGAGGTGGGCGGATTACTTGAGGTCAGTAATTCGAGACCAGCCTAGCCAACATGGCGAAACCCTGCCTCAACTAAAAAAAAAAAAGTACAAAAATTAACCAAGCATGGTGGCATGTGCTTGTAGTCCCAGCTACTCGGGAGGCTGAGGCACAAGAATCGCTTGAACCCGGGAGGTGGAGGTTGCAGTGACAGAGGGAGACTCTGTCTCAAAAAAAAAAAAAAAAAAAAAAGAAAAGGAAAAAAAGGGAACTATCATTGTGTCATCAGCACCATCCCCTGGGCCTGGCATACAGAAAGTCCCAGCCTATGCTTGTTCAGTGGACACACAGGCTGGGCATTATCGATGTGCATACAGGACTATCAAAAGATTTCAGGACTGGGGGAGGTGGCTTACACCTGTAATCCCAGCACTTTGAGGGGCTGAGGTGGACAGATCACTTGAGGCCAGGAGTTCAAGACCAGCCTGGTCAACATGGTGAATCCCCATCTCTACTAAAAATAGAGTGGGTGTGGTGACACGCCTGTAATCTCAGCTACTTGGGAGGCTGAGGCAGAAGAATCACTTGAACCCAGGAGGCAGAAGCTGCAGTAAGCAGAGATCGTGCCACTGCACTCCAGCCTGGGCAACAGAGCAAGGCTCTGTCTCAAAAAAAAAAAAAAAAAATTTCAGTTGTCGGGTATGGTGGCTCATGCCTGTAATCCCAGCACTTTGGGAGGCTGAGGTAGGAGGATGGTTTGAGCCCAGGAATTTGAAGTGGCAGTAAATTATGATCACACCACTGTGCCCGACCCCGGTTAACAGAGCAAAAGTCCCATCTCAAAAAGAAAAAAAAAAAAAAAAATGGATATCAAGCCCCTGTCCTGGAATGTTAGCTCATAACCCCAAATCTCCCAGCTCTCAGCCTGGCTTTTCTGACCATCCCTCCAGGTCAGCAGGACCGTCACCCCAGCTAATGCTACACATCCTATTCCAATGAATGGCTCTTTTCTGTCTGGATTGTTGTTTCCAATTATTTGTCCATCTCTATGGAAACATTTCTTAAAAATACTGCACATGAACTTGAATTTTTGACCGGCGATGTCTCTGGAACAGGTCTGTGAGCACGGACCAGGTTTACATTGAGGGAGGAGGCACCTCCCTCCCTTCCACCCCTCGGTGACAGACTAACAGTCTCTGGGTGGGGCAGGAAGCCTGAGCTCTGGCCCCAGGCCCGCCCTTAACGCTCTCTGTGGCCTTGGACGAGTCATTTCACACCACCTTTGTGTACTTGCACTTTACTTTGCTTCCTTACTTGATTTTTGTTTTTTTATAGAGACTGGATCTCGCTATGTTGTCCAGGCTGGTCTCGAATTCCTATACTCACATGGTCCTCCTGCTTTGACCTCCTAAAGTGCTGGGATTGCAGGCATGAGGCATCAGGCCCGGCCTACTTCCTTACTTGTAAAGTGAAAAGTTGATCCAAATAATCTCAAATGTTCTTTTCTGCTCTAAAATTTGATCTTCTCTACACTCTCCTAGTCAGGAATGTTCTTGCTCTGCCTACTGAGTGGCTGTGCTGTGCAACATCTTTTTGCACCACTTTCTAAGGAGTAAAGAGCTATGTGCAGTTTTTTGAACATAGAATAATAATAACAACAATAAGAACACCAATTAATTGGGCACGGTGGCTCATGCCTGTAATCCCAGCACTTTGGGAGACCGAGGCGGGTGAATCACCTGAGGTCGGGAGTTCGAGACCAGCCTGACCAACGTGGAGAAACCCTGTTTCTACTAAAAATACAAAATTAGCCGGGTGTGGTGGCGCATGCCTGTAATCCCAGCTACTCGGGAGGTTGAGGCAGGAGAATTGCTTGAACCTGGGAGGTGGAGGCTGTGGTGAGCCGAGATCACACCATTGCACTCCAACCTGGGCAACAAGAGCGAAACTCTGTTTAAAAAAAAAAAAAAAAAAACCAATTAACACTTTCCATTTGATACTCCTCTGCCAAGCACTTTGCCTGTCTTACTTCATTTACTCCTCGCTGCCCCAGTGGTAAGTCTTCCCCCTCTACATTCCAGAAAGTCTTTTTCACAGAAGACCTTTGCTTAGAAGGTCTGCCTTTGTTTAACGGAAGACAAACCTTAGTTCTCTTCTTTTTATTTTTTAAATTTTGAGGCAAAGTCTCGCTCTGTTGCCCCGGCTGGAGTGCAGTGGCGCCATCTCGGCTCACTGCCACCTCTGGAATTCAAGTGATTCTCCTGCCCCAACCTCCCGAGTAGCTGGGATTACAGGCGTGTGCCACCATGCTCAGCTAACTTTTGTATTTTCAGTAAAGACGGGGTTTCTCCACATTGGCCAGGCTGGTCTTGAACTCCTGAGCTCAAGAGATCTGCCTGCCTTGACCTCCCAAAGTGTTGGGATTACAGGCAGGAGCCACCGCGTCCGGCCTTAGGTCTCTTCTTGAACTGCCCTGCTTGGTAGTCTGAATAGTTCCCAGAGGGGTATCTGGAATGTTCTCCTAGCTTCTTAGAATAGAATCATCCTGGCCAGTGCAGTGGCTCACATCTATAATCCCAGCACTTTGGGAGGCCGAGGCGTGTGGATCACCTGAGGTCAGGAGTTCAAGACCAGCCAGGACAACCTGGTGAAACCCCATCTCTACTTAAAAATACAAAAAATTTGTCGGGTGTGGTGGTGAGCACCTGTAATCCCAGCTACTCGGGAGGCTGAGGCAGGAGAATCGCCTGAACCCAGGAGGCAGAGGTCTCAGTGAGCCAAGATAGTGACATTGCACTCCAGCCTGGGCAACAAGAGCGGAACTCAGTCTCAAAAAAAAAAAAAAAAAAAAGAATCGAATCATCCGTTCAGCATTTTCTGGGAGCTTGCTGTGTACATGCTAATCAATTAGAGAAGCGGTTCTCAACTGGGGGCGGTGTTGCCCCCGTAGGAGGCATTTGGCAATGTCTAGAGGGATTTTTGGTTGTCACATTGGGTGGGGAGTGCTGATGTCATCTGGCAAGGGCCAGAGACAATGCACAGGACAGCCTGTCCCCGGCAAACAAAGAATCATCATAATCTAAATGTCATTAGTGCCAGGTAGAAACTCCTGGGCTGGAGAAGACAGGGGTGTCTGCCTATTTCCCTTTTAGTGTCTTTATTTCAGAATGAGCCCACCAGCCAGGCCAATGTCTACAAATAAACAGCCTATGATGATTTCTCCCTCCTGGTTGCGATTGTCCAGACAAAGGAAAGAAAGTAGTCTGTGGCTGGTTCTGAGCCTCCCTGCCCGTTCTGAAGCCTCAGAGGCGGCACTCCCGTCTCCAGACAGAGATTTGAGCGGTTGCTGCAGAAGAATCCTCAAAGGCGTTTTCAGCTCCAGTCCCTGGCCACAATTTAAGGATAGAGTCTGCCAACCATTTGTGAGGCTAAGTGGGAGGAGGAGGAAAAGAAGAAAAGGAGGAAGCCATTTCTTAGTACCCATGGGGCCGAAATAAGAAGCAGTCTTTAGGCCGGGCGCGGTGGCTCAAGCCTGTAATCCCAGCACTTTGGGAGGCCGAGACGGGCGGATCACGAGGTCAGGAGATAGAGACCATCCTGGCTAATACGGTGAAACCCCGTCTCTACTAAAAATACAAAAAACTAGCCGGCGAGGTGGCGGCGCCTGTGGTCCCAGCTACTCGGAGGCTGAGGCGGAGAATGGCGTGAACCGGGAGGCGGAGCTTGCAGTGAGCTGAGATCCGGCCACTGCACTCCAGCCCGGGCGACAGAGCCAGACTCCGTCTCAAAAAAAAAAAAAAAAAAAAAAGAAGCAGTCTTTAAGCGGTTTGACTTTCTTTAAAAATCACTTTTGTAGTGACATCAGCTTGCCCTCTGTTCTTGGCAATGGAAGAGCTTCTTGAGATGAGAAAGCCTGGGTTACTTCAGCTGCTCGTCACTTCCATTAAGTTCTCTGGATGTTGCAGCCTGACTTCTGCCCAGTCCTGAGAGTAGGGCTCCCAAAAGCCAACAGAAATGTCTCCATCACCAAAGGTACAGGCATCCTTTTGTTTTTAAATTTCAATCGTTTTAGGGGAATGAGTGGTTTTTGGTAACGGGAATGAATTGTGTAGTGGTGAAATCTGGGCTTTTAGTGTACCCGTCAACCGAAAAGTGTACATTGTACCCAATAGGTAATTTTTCATTCCTCATCCGCGCCCCACTTCTGAGTCTCCAGTGTCCATGATACCACTGTATGCCTCTGTGTACCCACAGCTTAGCTACCAATTATAAGTGAGAACATGTGGTATTTGGTTTTCCATTCCTGAGTTGCTTCATATGGGATAATTGCTTTCGGCTCTATTCAAGTTGCTGCAAAAGACATTATTTTGTTCTTTTTTATGGCTGAATAGTATTTCATTATATATATATCACATGGCATATATAATCATATGGTATATACATAACATACATATAATATATACGTGATATATATACATATATATAATCATGTGATATGTATATACACATATATATACACACCGTGTGTGCAAATATATATATATAAGTCACATATTCTTTATCTATTCATTGGTTAGTGGTCCCTTAGGTTGATTCCATATCTCTGCAATTGTGAACTGTGCTATGGTAAACATTTCAAGTGTAAGTGTCTTTTTTTTTTTTTTTTTTAAGACAGAGTCTCACTCTGTTGCCAGACTGGAGTGCAGTGGCACCATCTCGGTTCACTGCAACTTCTGCCTCCCGGGTTCAAGTGATTCCCCTGCCTCAGCCTCCTGAGTAGCTGGGACTACAGGCGTGCACCCCCATCCCCAGCTAGTTTTTGTATTTTTAGTACAGACAGGTTTTCACCATGTTGGCCAGGATGGTCCTTATCTCTTGACCTCGTGATCCGCCTGCCTTGGCCTCCCAAAGTGCTGAGATGACAGGTGTGAGCCACCGTGGCCAGCCTGCAAGGTTTCTTTTTGATCGTGGGACGTCTTAATTCCCAGGCTCCTAACTCTTTTGCTGTATTTGGTTTCACTGGGCCCTTCCCTCTTTTGTGTCACTTTCTCCACCTTAGTGGCTTTCAGTGTGCCTCCCAGTCTTCCTCCTACCTATTGATGACTCCCTGTGAGTTTCTTTTGTTGTGTGCAAGCCTGCCCTCAAAGCTCTGCCTTAGCTCTCATGTCCTCTTAAAATCGACTTTCATGTCTGCCTTCATATGGACTTTGTGGGCCTGCCACTGTGCAATCACACAGGGCCCATGTGCTTGGTGTAATGTTCTGCTGTCAGCGTCTTGAAATTCTATTTATTTATTTATTTATTTATTTATTTATTTATTTATTTTGAGACAGAGTCTCTCTCTGTCACCCAGGCAGGAGTACAGTGGCATGACCTCAGCTCACTGCAACATCTGCCTCCTGGGTCCAAGCAATTCTCTTGCCTCAGCCTCCTGAGTAGCTGGGATTACAGGTCCATGCCACCATGCCCAGCTAATTATTGTATTTGTAGTAGAGAGGGGGTTTCACCATGTTGGCCAGGCTGGTTTCCAACTCCTGACCTCAGGTGATCTGCCCGCCTCGGCCTCCCAAAGTGCTGGGATTACAGGTGTGAGCCGCCATGCCTGGCTTGAAATTCTTCATATATTTTGAACAAAAGACCCTGCATTTTCATTTTGCAGTGAGCCCTACAAATTAGGTGGTTGGTCCTGCCTGCAGGTACCTCCAACATTAGTACTTCCAACAAAAGTACTTGGGCAAGTGACTTAGTTTCCCTGTGTCTCAGTTTTCTTGGGTTCTTAGATGAATTTAATGAAATCACACTTAGAAAGTACTAAGCATGGTGTATGAGCACCAGAGACTTGACAAGTGCTGGTTAGGATCATGGTTTCTCGCTTCTTTCTTGCCTGGACCTGGTTTTCTCTTGCTCATCTCATTTAAAAGGATGACCAGTTTCCTAGTCATTCCAACTTGTAGTTTTTAAATTATTGGTTCCTCCCATTTAACTCTGCCCAGCCAATCAGTCATCAGCTCCTCTTTATTCTGCATTTGAAATATTTGTTAAACTTTTTCTCTTGGCTGGGCGTGGTGGCTCATGCTTGTGATCTCAGCACTTTGGGAGGCTGAGGTGGGTGGATCACGAGGTCAGGAGATCGAGACCATCCTGGCTAACACAGTGAAACCCCGTCTCTACTAAAAATACAAAAAATCAGCTGGGCATGGTGGCGGGTGCCTGTAGTCCCAGCTACTCGGGAGGCTGAGGCAGGAGAATGGCATGAACCCAGGAGATATAGTTTGCAGTGAGCCAAGATCGCGCCACTGCACTCCAGCCTGGGTGACAGAGCAAGACTCCATCTCTAAAACAAAAACAAAAACAAAACAAAACAAAACAACAACAACAAAACAACTTTTTCTCTTCTTACCTCTGTGCAGCCACTGTGGAGACTTAGCTTACATGGACTGTTACAATAGCTTCCTAATTAATCTCTATGTCTGCGGCCTTTTCTTTTCTTCTTCTTCTTTTCTTTTTTTTCCCAAAATAGAGAAACTTGATCCAGCAGCTGAGATGAAGTCAAACTGGTCCAACAGGAATTTACGCAAATGCCCATTTGTCCTTGAGGATGGTTCTTTGAAAGAGAGTAGGAAAATAAAACCAACATCAGTGCCTACTTGTGTGCCAAGCTCTGGACACACATGTTTTTATTTCATCTTCACAAGGACCCTATTAAGTTGCCCTTGTTATCTCCCATTTTACAGAGAGAAAATCAAGGCTCAGAGAGATGATCTGACTTGGACAATTTTCGAGTGACACAGCTGGATTCACACCCAGATCTCTCTGACTTGAAAGTACCTGTTGTCCAGAAAAAAAGACGTAAGTGGAAAAATCAGTGAGACTTGAAAATAGGAGCTTAGTTTAGTTAATAGTAATGAACCAATGTTGGATGGTTTTGATCATTGCAGGATGGTTATGTGAGCTGTGAAGAGTAGAGAAACTTGGGTGAAGGTTATATGGGAACCCTGCACTATTTTGCACCTTTTTGTAACTCTAAAATTATTTCAAAATAAAAAGTTACAGCCAGGCATGGTGGCTCACGCTTGTAATCCCAGCACTTTGGGAGGCGGAGGTGGGTGGACCACCTGAGGTCAGGAGTTCCAGACCAGCCTGGCCAACATGGCAAAACCCCGTCCCTACTAAAAATACAAAAACTAGCCAGGCGTGGTGGTGCACGCCTGCAATCCCAGCTACTTGAGGGAGGGCTGAGGCAGGAGAATCGCTTGAACCCAGGAGGCAGAGGTTGCATTGAGCTGAAATCGCGCCACTGCACTCCAGCCTGGGCCACAGAGTGAGATTCCATCTCAAAAAAAAAAAAAAAAAAGTTACGTAAACTGTGCACTTTGGGAGATAAGGATGTGTCGGCGTAGGTTCATCAACTGTAACAAATATGCCACTCTGGGGCAGGATGTTGATGGTGGCGGAGGCTGCGCATGTTTCAGGAAGGAAGTGTATGGGGAATCTCTGTACCTGCTGCTCAATTTTGCAGCGAAACTCTCAAAAAGTCAAAAACCGTTGTAAAAAATAAAGTCCATTAAAAAAGGAAATAAACTACCTGCTGTCTCCACTGTGTGTTCTCTGTACGTCTCACTGAACATCACGATCTTCTGCAGAACAATCCTCCACCCCTTACCCCCGCCCCCATACACACACTCATGCCCATGCACACACAATGGGCTCACACGAACTCCACAGTGTCTTTGCACAGGGAATATCGCGCCCATCAGCAAATCCAGCTGCAAGGTGTACCCTACTCCTAAGCATCAGTAGGAATCGTGAAAAGGAGATAATAAAGGGGTGCATGTGAATTACACTAGTAGCTGTGTTCATCTACTCACCCCTCCTTTCTGGCTACAAAAATGCAACGGTATTACTTGCAACATACGTTGCAAAATGCTTTTCCTACCTCTCCCCCTCCCCTGTATTGCCTCCTCCCCTTCCTCTTCGGGTTGGCGTGTAACCTCAGTGATCCAGCCAAATGAGTTATTTGAGATGGAAACGTTAATTTATTTGAGCAGATGGGCGTCAACGCTGCTCTGTAAAAAGGTGGCGGTATGCCGTATTGGCCCAGAGTGGTGCAGATGAAGTCCTGGCTGCCTCGCTGAATCACCGAGTGTGAACAGAATCATATGTTAACGGCACTGAGGGAAATGCCTATTTAAGCCAAACCCTTCCAGAAAACAAATCATTAGCCCCCGATTTTTGTTTTAAATCTGGATTTTCACATCTCAGGTTTGCTGAGGGTCTGAAAAATCTGAAACTCATTATTTCTCAAAGTGTGGTCTGATGACCACCCTCCTCAGAGTCACCCAAGGGCTTATTAAAAACACAGATTCGGGGGACCCAACCCCCCTGACCTACAAACTCCCACTCTCAGGGGTGCAGGCTTGGAGGAATCTGCAATGTTAACAAGCTCCCTGGGGAACTGTCACTAACATTGGGCCCCCATCACTGAAGCGGTGCTGTCAAACTGCCCAGGAAAATCCTTTCAAAACAAAATAAAACAAAGCAAAAAAAAAAAAAAACAACCTTGGAATTTGGGGTGGGATTTTTGTTTATTTGGTTGGTTGTGTCTTTCTTTCTACTTCCGTCTACTTTTTCAGATTTTGTGCGAAAGAATGACCCCCCCTTTGGCGATTAGAAGTAAATAAATAAAAAGGATAAAAAAGATAGCACAAAGAGATTATTTGTGCATGAGAAGTAAAAGACAGTTTGGAAATTTCAGGAATTTCCAAGAAAAGGAGGCTTCCTTGTCTCTCTGTCCTTGGCAACTGAACTTGGACTAGCTTCTCCACACTCCCCACCCCTACCTCCCCCTCCCGGACAGCCGCCTTCTCTAAGTGTTACAACCAATTTTCTCTTGAATACATGTAGTGAGGAAGCCTCAATGACTTCCCAAGGGACCTTACTTATAGGGAAGAGGCACCACGGGAAGATTTATGGAACGTCTGTAAAATATGTGTGTAGAAACTTGCGACATTCTGATCACTACCAAGGAAAAAAAAAAAAAAAACTGGACAGTTTCTTACTAGTCAGTTTCATGAGCATTTTTATGGATTTTTTAAAATTAATTAATCTTTTCTCCCTTTGTTAGGAATTCTTGGCACAGACACAAGCCCGGGAGAAGGGTAATATTGCCCACGGGCTGTGTGTCCAAACTGTCAGGCTTTCAATCCTAAATCTCTGGAGGCAAAAGGCCAGATTTCATGTGCTTCCCATGAAGTGGGGAGAGTCTTGTCAACGTTGGAGAGAAGGGAGTATTATTAGTGGGATTGCCACCACTGCCTCTAACAGCCTCAGTGCCACTGGCAAGCGCCATATGGTCCTAGACAGCCTCTTCCCTGGGCTGTCTCCACGCCCAGAGCCATTTGCAGGATGGGAAAGAGCCCTCAATGTTTGCCACACGGCACCAGGCCCTGTCTACCTCTAGCGCCCTGGTCCTATGTGGAAGCATCAATCGGGCATCTGGTTTTTCTCAGCCTCACAGGTTCCAGTCTTCCCCCACCCCCAACCCCCGCCTCGGCAGTTTGCTGCTGAAGACAATGAACCAAGCGGAATTTCCCGGCCTAAGAGGGGAACTGGAGCTCGGCATCCTGCTTTTGTTACCAGTTCATCTTGGGCTCCTTCTTGGCCTCAGTTTCTTCATCTGTAAAATAAAAAATCCAGAAAAATCTGCTCTAGAGGAATGTTGTGAAGATGAGAGATAATTTGGAAACTGGTGGTTCTCAACTGGGAGCAACTTTGTCCCCTCTCTACTCCCACACCCAAGGGGGTATTTGGTGATGTCTGGAGACAGTGTTGGTTGTTACAGCTTAGGGGGAGGGGTACTACTGGCATTTTGTGGATAGAGGCCAAGGATGCTGCTAAACATCCTACAGGGCAGCCCCCCCAACACCAAGAATCATCCAACGCAAATATCAATGATCCTGGCCGGGTGCGATGGCTGATGCCTGTAATCCCAACACTTTGGGAGGCCAAGGTGGGCAGATCACTTGAGGTCAGGAGTTCAGGACCAGCCTGGCCAACATGGCAAAACGCTGTCTCTACAAAAATACAAAAATTAGCTAGCTGGTCGTGGTGACGGACATCTGTAGTCCCAGCTACTCTGGAAACTGAGAGAGGAGAATTGCTTGAACCCGGGAGGTGGAGATTGCAATGAGCCGAGATTGTGGCAGTGAGCCGAGATTGTGCCGCTGCACTCCAGCCTGGGCAACAGAACGAGACTCCATCTCAAAAAAAGAAAAAAAAAAAAAAATCAATGATGCTGAAGTTGAGAAATCCTGATACAAAGTGCCTGGCAAACAGCTGGTGACTTAGGTGATGATAATGAAAAAGGATGTGGGAAAAGGAATATAGTAAGTGTGTTCAATAAACCTTAGCTACAATTAGTAGATCCAAGATCATGGATAGCTGCTTCCCTGAATGCTCCAAACAAGCTCAGCTAGACAGTGTCATGATTGATTAGTGATGTCTGCCATGGGCACAGCAGGGGGAAGAGGCAACGTGAGTGCAGTGTATTTGCTGACCCTGGACTGTATGATGTCTAGCATCTGTTTCTCCTCTGACATTCTGTGATCCTATTGCTGTGATTCTGTGAGTCTATCTTCAAAGTTCTGGAGTCAGCATTATTTACAGAATATTTAGGCAGCCCAGGCTCCTGCAGGCTTGCTTGGCAGGGCAGGCTGGTGAGCGGAGATCCAGGAAGACAGCGCCCGCTCCATGCAAGGTAAAATAGACAGTTGCTGACAGGATGTGATGTGGGTGACATGGAAACTCCCCCCTGACCCCTCAAATCTTCCCCATCTCTCATGAGTTAAATGTTTAACTGTCAGAGTCACTCCATTTGGATTAAAACATTGTCTGCAGGAGACCTTTGTTTAAATGTACAATATTACCTGGAAGGGATAAGCATGCAATCCATCCCAATATGTTAATCCACTAAACTAGTTGTAGCTCAGCAGAATAGAATTGAGAGGAAATGGGACAAAGGAGAGAGGTATTTTTGAGGATGAGAGAGGAGGCTGGCGGGGGGGGAAGTATGGATTATAGAGCCAACGTCACTATATTGCACAACTCCAGGAGGTGCTATTCACACTGGAGCTGGGTGACCAAATCACCCTGAGACTTCTTTGTTTTAAAACTGAAGATCCTATGTCCCAGATGCTCCCTTTGTCTCAGACAAACCAGGGCAGTTGGTCACCCTAACTCTCGACCACGTGGCACAGGAGGAGCTTTGTAGTCCTAGCTGTCATTTACTCCTCATGGTGTTGCCTGAAATCTCTTTCTGGATATGTTTCTCCCCTGCTTGTGAATCCTCTGTGGCTCCCTAGGACCCACTGAACTGGATTGAAATACCTTTCTATATAGTGCCTAAGTTGGCCTGAGTCTTGCTTCCTGATCCACCTCCCTCTAGCTCTGAGTCACCCCAATTAGTCACCATGCCTGAGACCCACCACGCACTTTCCTATGCCCTTTGGCTTGGAAAACGAGCTTTTCGAGAGGGGAAACCCACTTCTTGGAGTGTGCCTAACTTGTGCCAGTAGCGAAGGAGTTAATTTGCCCAGCGTTTGTGTTGTCAAACTCACCACATGTTGCTGCCAGTGAGTTGGGGCTCAGATATGACTACCACTTGGTGTCAGGAGGGACACCATTTGTTCCAAAGAGCCCCAGGCACCCGCTCAGGGAAGGGCAACGCCACCAGGCACATGGAACCACCCTAAAAAAAAATAAAGACTCCCTTCCTTCCTTTACTCTTTATTTTTAAATTTTATTTTTTTTAAAAAAGCATTTTTCTATGTAGAGAGAGGTCTCACTATGTTGCCCAGGCTAGTCTCCGACTCCTAGACTCAAGCGATCCTCCCACTTTGTGCTCCCAAGTTCCGGGATTACAGGCATGAGCCACCATGCCCAGCCTACTCTTTAAACTTTCCAAAGCAGTTTCACATACATGCCTCAACAGATCCCCTCCGTATTTCTGAGCAACAGGTAAGATGAATGTCGTGCCCATTTGACAGGTGGGAAAACTGAGGT